ACGCTCCCCCCCCCATTTTCCAGCCCGTGTGACTGGGGCCATAGTATCATTCTTAGAATCCCTCTGTTCCACCCAGTCCTGCCAGATCTCTTGGCAGCTTGGAGACCCTTTCAGCAGCTGGGGAATCCTGCAGCAAGGCACACAAAAGAATTCTGCCCCATAATTGATTTTGCTTCTGGGCTCAGAACCTGAGGGATTCTGTACCATCCCTAAGCCAAGTTCCCTTTGTCTTTGTTTCCACAGTCTGAGCTCCTGTAGGGCAAAGCCAATTCTGAAGTGCACTGGCTAATTTGAAAATAATAGGTCACTAAACTTTATGGGCTTGGGGGAGAGGAAGAGGACGACGCTTAACACCCGGTCCCTGACAATTTGCTAGGATGTGACCATTTAATCTGTAATAGATTTACATCCTGCGAAGATGTAACTGGATGATTGAGATACAAAGTGAATGTGCTTAATCCCCCGAATAGCATGATGGCGCGCCTCTTAATTTTGCCTTGAGTTTGAGTAATAAGAATATAACTTAAAATATCATTATTAGTGACTTATGTATCTCATTACAATTTGAAATGTTGTCAGTATTTTCTGCGGTGGCTGGAGAGAGGTTATCACTCATGAAATATTGAACCAATGACCTTAGTGATTCACTTATGATGAAAGGCCCAATCTAACGTTTTATTGAACATGATATTTGTGAAAAATGGAACTGCTCATTTCTATTACTTAATCAATAGCACATTAAGCCATTTATCATTAATTTGATTAAAGAAGGTCATTGCCAGCTGGAAATTCCACTCCCTTCTCATCTACTTTAATTCTAATAACCAAGCAAGTGGAAAGAGATAGCAGAAAGTTAAAAAGAGAGAGAGAGAGAGAGATTACTCCTTTGCTGGACTGTGTCTTCAGGAAGCTGGGCAGGTATACCTGAGTCCCCCGTCATTGAAGTAGGAGCTAAATAAGAAGCAGAAGAAAGCTTTATATTGCAGCCACTTTTCTCCAGAAATGGTTCAAGTCCTCCTCCAGTGTCACTTTTTAGATGCCAACAGCCTGCCCTGTAAATTTTTTTTGCCAATGAACTCAATGCCAATATACCCAGAATAAAGCTTTGTTGGTCTTTGTCATGATCTGGGCTGTGCCACCAGAGGCCTAGCAGGCCCAGGGAGCCTGGCTAGCAGTAGGGGAGACTAGGCCTACAAACCCCAGAAGGCTTTGGGAAGTTTTGGCACCGATTTTGACCAATAGGGAAGAAAAGGGCTGGGGAATAAAAGAACTGGTACAAGAGGAAAAGCTTTTTTTCTTCCCAGGAATCAGGGCCAGAAGAAAGATGCTGCTGTGGGGAAGAAACCCTCATCCTGAGGGAAGGGTGAGTAGTCTAAGGCCACTTGAGATAGTGAGCTAGGGGCAGTATATTTAGATGCGTTAGGGCATTTGATTTCTTTTCTTTTCACCCACTTACTGTTATTATTCCTGCACCTTGTTTGTTTGACCTCCTATAAAATAAACCTTTTCCTTGTTGTTTACTCTGCCTGGTCCGCATGCCTATTATTTGGCCAAAGGGAGGCCTAAAGGTCTTGGGAGGGTGCTGTGGGCCTTCTCAAGAGATCCTAAATCCAGAGTGGTGGTAGCGTCAGGTGACACCGCACCGGAGCCGTGACAGTCTTAAAGGTGCCACAGGACTCAAACTGTGTTCTGTTAACCTGGTTCATGTCTGCTTGGGCTGGCAGCAGCTTTCCAGATTCCGGCTGAGGTCTTTCCCAGCCTTAATTGCATCAGTGCTCTGAGGAAGGAACCTTTCCCATTGCTGTTGCCTGTAATTCTTTTCAGTGAAGATGCCAGGGATTGCTTCAGGACCTTTGGCCTGCAAAGCAGGTGCTGTAATGTTGCCTTGCGGCTCCTTTCTGTGGTGCCATCTGTCATCCTTCAAATCCCTCCCCTAAACTCACCTTTTCTGTGAAGCCTTTGGCTTGACCCTTTCGTCAAGCAAGGCCAAAGTACATGTCACTGCAGCCACTCACTGTTTGTCCTTTGTTACCCATGCTCCTCCACCAGTCTAAATTTAAATGGGGGCAAATGCGTTTTTTGCCTGCACTGCTCGATATAGAAAACAAAGACCACTGCTGGCACTGTAGAAGTGGGCATCAAATAAGCAGATAATGGCTGCATTTGCACAATGGACGCAGGTGACAGACTCCTGCTTTCTCAGTGAGAAATTTGGATATCTTTGCCTCAGAATGTGCACCTATAGTCCGCAGTCCTGACTGAGTACATATGTGTTGTCTTAATGGTCTACTTCCTTGACCTGAATAGCCCAGGCTAGCCCAAACTTGTCAGATCTCTGAAGCTAAACAGGGTCAGCTCTGGTCAGTACTTGGATGGGAGACCACCAAGGCTTGCTGTGCAGAGGGAGGCAGTGGCAAGCTACCTCTGAATGTCTCTGGTCTTGAAAACACTATGGGGTCACCACAAGTTGGCTGTGACTAGAGAGCAAAAAAACCCCAAGCTTTTCTTGTGTAGTAAGGTCATTGAGTTCTAGAGTTGGAAGGGGGCTTTATAGGCCATGGAGGGCAGTCCTCTGCTCAGTGGAGAAACCCCAAAGCCAGAGCCTTTCTGGCCAATCAGGCCCCGCTTATGCCCGATGACCTCCAGCACGGGGCAGCCCCCACCTCGGGTAATTGGTTTGATTGTCAGACTATTCTCATCTACCAATGTAAAATGTACCAAAACTTTGAAACTATGGGGAAATATTTTTTTTGAGGCGGGGAGAGACTGAAATCGAAATATGTGCAGTGCTTTTCAGTTCTAATCTAAACTTATTTTACTGCTTCAGCGACCCAGAACAAATTTTGTACTAAACAAATGGGAGTGGATTATCTGGCCAGAAACAATCTTGCATATTCACAATAGGATTACCAGCGTATCTGGCTATCAAGATAAAACTTTAAAAACATTGAAGATGCTGAACTCTTTAATAATGTGTCTCAAACATATTGTATTTTCATTGTTACCAAAATTATTCACATACAAACAATTTAACAGGTCGCTGAAAATATCTTGTCTGTCTCCAGTGTCTGTAGTATAAGAATGCCCGTGATCTAATGCTGTCAATTATTTTACATAAAAGAATTCATGCCAGATATTTTCAGGGAGTGAAATCTTGTCTAACAGCATCTTAATCCTTCCAGAAAAAGAAATATTTCATGGGAAATCCAGGAGAACTCTGCAAAAGACTCCTTTTTAATTGAATTTAGAAAAAATTAGGGCATGTGTGAATTTATTTGTTCAAGATTTTCCAAGTCTCCTCATCTCTACTTTCACCCTTAGGAAGTTTCTTGTAATGTTCAACTGAAACCAGTCTTCCTGTAACTCAAGCCTGTTAGATCTAGTCTTGCCCTCTGGAGTACCAGGGAAATGAGCCTTTGAAACACCCTTTCCGGTATCTGAAGAATGTGATCTTGTCTCCCCGCCCCCCAAGTCTTCTCCAGGCTAAACGCACCCAATTTATTTGACCTTCCTTCACTTAGCTTGTTTTCCAAACTCCCAACCATCTTCACTGTCCTTCTCTGAACCTGTCCTGGTTTGTCTACGTCTCAAAATGTGGCACCAAGTACTGTTTACAGTATTCCAGGTGAGGTCTAACAAGCACTGGGTGGAACTATTACTTTTAGACTTGTGGTTTACCCCTGCCCCTGTTGGCCTGTTGTGAGAGATCTGCCAAAACCTTCATCCTGTCGCAGGAAAGTTGGAGCATGGAGAGAGGGCTACTCAGTGGCTGCCTGTTGAGATTTAAACCCTAACTGAGCCTCAAACGCTTGTCCTGAGTGATGTTGGATAGCAGGTCTGCTCAAGGTAGAAGCAGGGGAACCAGCCAAGCAGGCCGTAGCTGCTGTAAAGACTTTTGAGTCAGGCTTGTTGCCTGGACTGAACAGTTTTGAGACTTGTTTTTGCTAGTTATGGGTTGCCTCACCTTCCTCTCCCTCTGCTTTTGTCTTGTCAGCGTTTTGGCCCAGCCCCAAAGAGCTACTTTAAGAACACCCCAAAGACTTGGGTATATAATCTGGGATGTTGGAGTTTTCTTAATGCCAGGCCACACATACACCTCACGCACTCTTCCCGTATCTCAGAATGTTTTTGAAAGGTGGCTTGGTTTTTTTATAAAGCAGTTGTTGTGGGGTACTGTGAGAAAGAAGATCAAAGCCTCCGTGGGTGCTTGGAGTTCATGGTGACATTCTTCAGATCCTGCCCTGTGCATGCTTGCTTCCTGGTTCTTCCAGATGCTGCGAGATAGAAAGCATTAAAACAAGTGCAGCGTTGTTGGTAAGCAAACTGACCAGCATAAAGAAGGGCTGTTACCCCTCTCTGCCGAGATTGAGCTGACAAGTCCTGAAATGTAGTCCGTAAAATGACAAGTTCTGTTATACTAGGGTGGCACAATGTGATCGGTGGGAAGTTCTGATTCAGATCTTTCTTTGCTGGATCAGCCTTGCAAAGAAACCTGCGAATGTTGTTGGCTTGCCTGACCACAGATCCAACAGCTAATTGATTTTTGCAACCCTCCATCCTACCCCCCCCCCAAGTTCCCATGATGCTTCCATAGCTGGTAAATCCAACTTGCAACTGGTAAGAGATCGTGTATATGAGATAGCTTTAGCCAAGCCACTCTTCCACTGCCCCCCCAATCTGTATGGGGGGGTCGTTGTTCCGTCTCTACATGTGGGGCTCTCGAAAGCGCTACAGAGACAATTAACGTGAATGGCTTTGAATGCTAAAATGTTCTGTGCAAAAGCTTAATAATAATACTGATGTGCATAACTGATGGTTTTATTACACTATGCTGGGGGGGGGAAGCCCAACTAAAACACCGTTTCATTATGCTCCCCGTTTAGTAGCACGAAATGCGCTGGAGTGTGTCTGATGGGTTCCTGTTTCAGGGCAGATTCTGAAGATGATAGCGACTTAACTGCATTGATTGTGCTATAATTGGATTTCTTTTCTTCTTCCAGGCCTCTCAGGAAGAGCTGAAAGCCGCCTATCGCAGGCTGTGCATGTTGTACCATCCAGACAAGCACAGAGACCCGGAGCTGAAAAGGCAGGCCGAGCAACTCTTTAACCTTCTTCATCAGGCTTATGAAGGTCAGTGCACGCCTTGGATTTGCAGGCACTGTCTGTCCAGCCGCCGATATTGGATTTTCTGGCTGGCACGTCTTTAGAGTCCAGAGAGTGATGTGTCCCCCCCCCCCCCCAAAGGGGGCGGGGGTTTTTTTTTTTTTTTTTTTTTGCTCTTCTCATTCCAAAGAATCAATACTTGAACTATCAGTATTTGCCAAACGACTTGAAAACGTGTGCGTTTGGGGACACCAGACACACAACTAAAAAAGAGTCTGATTGGACAGTCTTGTAATTTGAATACGATCTGGAGGAGTCTGGGGCTTGACCATCTTGTAAGACTGGCAAGGGCATCCTTCTTTTTATTAGGTTGCCTGTCCTAGGCTCCGGTCACATGGGCAGGAAAATGTGGGGGGGAAGCGTGGCTGTTTGCCCCGGGGCAAACTAACGCAGGGTTAAGCGATCAGACCTCCCGTGGAGGTCCCGTGGGTAGGGAGAGGCGCCGATCACAGGACGGTCCTGCAAGCAACAAAGAAGTGGCGTGGCGCAGCAAACTGGTTTTCTTTTTCCGTGTACACCAAAAATGCGCATGCTCCGTTGGGTGCTTGTGCGCATCCATGGAGACTTGGGGAAAAACCCCGTTTTTGCAAGGGGACATGGGCGGGTGCCAGATGCCACCGGAAACACGATCAGACGCCCGCCCTTGCCCCGCGGTTTCCAGAAACTAGTACCTCCGAGGTACTAGTTTTTTGCCGCGCGTCTTCAGCGGGAAGCCTCGGTTGAGCCACGGGAGCGCTACGCTTCCCAGATGTGCCGGTGAGATCGTGCCCGGAAAATCCGCCTGTCTTCCGTCTCTCTAGCATGGCTAATGCTCCGTGTGACCGCAGCCCTAGAAAATCAGAAGTGCAGGAGGAGGCATGCCCCCCCCCCCTCTTAGGGAGTACTCTGGGTGTCTTCCCTCTTGAGGCAGTTTAGCTCAGGCTTTAGTTTTCACCGGCCATACTTTGCTCAAATAGAGCTGCTGTTAACTTGGATTCAGGTGGGGCAGAAGCAGCCCCAAGGCCTCAACAAATGGTATCAGCAACCCTACACATATCACAATGCAGCCATGGGTGTTGCTTTTGGGGAAGGCGGGTTTTGTTAGCATATATGAAAGGAGGCTATCAGTGAATCCCTTTTTCTTGTGAGCCAACAAGGAATGTCTCTGGGGGAGCTGAAGCAACTGGCCGAATCACAGGAAGAGGGGGAAACAGAATGAGGAAACCCTCTGGCTACCAGATTGCCTGAGGCCCTTCATCCTACAAGGCCCTAGGACTTTCATCTGTTTTGATCAGCCCAGAACTCTTCATATGTCCTGCCATAAATGTAGTCTTCTGTTCCCAAACCCGCTTTTGGAGTGCGGAGCAGTTCCCAAAGCCAGAAGGCTGGGTCCATTTGAGGCTGAAGACATGCCTGGGACCCCATTCCACAGTATGGTGATGATGGTGACATTACCCGTAAAAGGTTGTCATAAAGTCAAAGTCTGACACTGTCCACTCGCCATATGGATTATTATTGTCATACGCCTCCAATTCTTGGCACCTATTAGATAATAGCAGCATGTATATTGGTAGAATTGCACAGTCAGGTCACATTGGTAAGTCATTTAGCCAAGAGCACTCTGCAGAGACCACCATACCTTTTGCACACGTTTAACCACAGAGCCCTTTGCTAGCTGAATGCTGGTGCTGATTCAGTTTGACCCTCAACAAAAAAATAAATCATAAAAAGGTCTGCTCGAGTTGATACAGGGGATCTGCCATGGACTTGGCTAAAAATCAAGATCTGCTAGCTCCCAGTTGAGTGCTGTAAGCACAGTAGCATCCTTCTTCCTTAATCTGAGGCCTTATTGTGAATGCCAGACTCCCTGGTAAGCTTTTTTGGCATGGGATGCAGAGATGATGTATAATCGGAGAACAGGGACACCATTTTTGTTCAGTATCGAGTATTCAGAAGTTCATGATCTGTAAAGGAAATTTAAAAAAAAATCCAACTGTGTCAGCGCTGAAATTGTCATCTGAAGCAGTCGTAACTGTAAGTGTTTCCCATCAAGCCGGTTTTGCTTTCTGTGAAGGATTATAGCCGAGATGAGAATTTCTTCCACCAGAGAAAGCATGGGCTATAATTCATTCGAGATGCTGTTTGCTAAGCTCTGCATGCAATTCTCCTATAATTAGACTAACTAAGTATCGAGGAAGATGCTCTTCTCTGAAATAAAGACTTTCCCAATCTTCTATAAAAGCTTATCTTGTATCTCGGCTTAACAGGGCTTCTTTTGCTGAAAATTTAGACGTTAATGGCCACTGGAAAACTTGGAGTGTGCCGGGTGATGAATCTGCATAGCTGAAATAATGTGATCTCACCAGATTTTTAGTTCTGCAGTCGTAGGCAGATGGGACTTGAGTGCATTTCCACTAAGGGTTTGATTGAAACGGTTGCCCTCCTGATTATATTCTGTTATCTGGGTTTGGTTGAATGAATCTTGCATGCGTGTGAATTATTGATAGTTTGTTTGCAGCATTTTTTTTTTTTTGAGATTTGGGGAGAAGCAAATGAAAACTTAAGCGAATTAGGAACCGGCCAGATTTGTTTTTTTCCTGTAGCAAAAACTGCAGCAGCAGCACACTTGTCGCCCAGCGGTTTGGCCCAGAGGGGAAGCTAAAGTGAAATGGTGAATAAATGATTTCTTATTAAATCCCAGAGATTAGCTAAAGAAATTTGGCTCTAGTGTTTTCTGAGTGGTCAGCATTTCTTTCCTTACATTAGGCTCGAACGTGGGTGGAATCATTTACAGCGTTCTTAATTAGGCCTTGGGATGCATGGGAACAAGCTTTGAAGGGGAGGGAGAAAGCAGAGAGAGAGACCTTGAAAGGTCTGAGGACTGGGGAAGGGGGAACTCTTCACCTGTTGACAAAGCTGCCTTTTGAGAAATCGGCTCCAGGAGTGCACTTGGAGCTTACCGCGCAGCCGCTTTCATGCACTAAAGTGCAGGCACTCAGGAAGGTAAATGGGCGAACGTGACAAGAATTTCCAAACAGGCATGCACTTGGCACCGAGCCAGGGCCGGCTGTGGGTTATTGTTGATCTGGTTTGATGCGAAGCGTGGTGCGCTTCTGCTGGAACTCTGCCTTGAATGCTGCAATTGCTGAATGTTGTCTTGGTTTTAATTTCCAGTGCTTAGTGACCCACAGACAAGAGCCATCTATGACATATATGGGAAGAGAGGCCTCGAAATGGAAGGATGGGAGGTAAGGAATGCGTCTGGAAGGAATCTGCAAGTCAGGAGCCTCACCCCTTGCTCCCCAAGCTTGTGCTGTTTGTGTTCTAATAAGTCACCATCTAGACTCCACAATCCCTGTGCCAGTGGAATCATTAGGACAAGGATGGAACTATGCTCCAGGACAGGGCAGCGCTTGACAGTCTATATTACAGACTGGAACACTCCATCCTGCCCTGTGAGATATCATATAGGAACATACATGAAGTGCCTTATACTGAATCAGACCATTAATCCATCAAGGTCAGTGTTGTCTACCTAGACTGGCAGCAGGTCTCCAGTGTCTCAGGCAGAGGTCTTTCACAGCACCTATTGCCTGGTCCTTTTTAACTGGAGATGCCAGGGATTGAACCTGGGACCTTCTGCATGCAAAGCTGAGGCTCTTCACTGAGCCACAGTCCCTCCCTGTGTGCTCCACTCTGGGCATCACAGAGCTTCAGCTTTAGCAAAGAAAGTAATCTGTCAAGCAGCATCTTAATTTGTCCAATGTATTATATGTATATGAAGTTGCACTGGCTGCCAATAGCATGCCAAATTCGCTTCAAGGTGCTGGTTCTTACCTTTAAAGCCCTATATAGCTAGGGTCTGACATACCTGAGGGGACTGCCTTTCCCCATACATACCCCAGAGAGCACTATGGTCGGGGTCACAAAACTGACTGACCCTCCCGGGCCCGAAGGATGCCAGGCTTGCTACCGTCAGAGCCTTTTCAGTGGTGGCGCCATACTGGTAGAATGAGCTCCTGGAAGAGATCAGGGCCCTGCGGGATCTGTTACAGTTTCGCAGGGCCTGCAAGACTGAGCTCTTCCACCAGGCTTTCAATTAAGGAGCCACCACTACTATTACCATCAATAACTTTAACTATAGAGCCCTGGCCCTTGGCTCTGACATCCATCCCATGCCACCGCTCGCATAAGGAAGAGCACTGACAAGAAAAATTGTTTAGACCTTATAGGCACTCTTCAGGATGCCACCTTCAGAATGCCACCATAAGCAATTAATGAAACATCACCAGCACTTTATGATTTATGATCTATTTATAATTGATCTGTTTTAAATGATTTTATGTGGATTTTAATTGTTATTTTTGTGTTAATCAGTGTGAGCTGCCCTGAGCCTGCTTTGCGGGGAGGGCGGGGTACAGATTAATTAATTAAATAAAATCTTATACAGACTGAGTCCACTGGTCTATCTAGCTCAGCATCTTTCTCTGACTGCGTGGTTCTCTACGCAGAGAAAGACCTGTCCTGGAGTCTGCTGGGATCCTCTTCCTGGAGATGCCAGGGACCAGGGCTATTTTTGGGCAGGAACGCACAGGAACGGAGTTCCGGCTGGCTTCCAAGTTGGCCACGCCCAGCCGGAACTCATTAGCATAATAGGCCACACCCAACATCAGAAACTCATTAGGATTGGCTACATTAGGGGTGTGTGGCCTAACATGCAAAGGAGTTCCTGCTACAAAAAAGCCCTGGGTTTTGACAACAAACAAGGTAAAGAGAATAAGAAGCAAAAGGTGGGTGTGGCTGGATGGCCATACTTCTGGTAACATGGGGGTGCGGCCTAATGTGCCAATGAGCTGTGCTGTCAGGGATGTGGCCTAATATGCTAATGAGTGTCTGCTGTTGGGTGTGGCCTATTAGGCTAATGAGTTCCTGCTGGGCTTTTTCTACAAAAAAAGCCCTGCCAGGGACTAAGCGAATCTGGGACCTTCCACATGCCCACTGGAAAGGAGCCAAAGCCTTTCCTCAGTTAGAAGTAACAATCCTTAAAAACAAAGGGAAAGAAAACAATATGCTGGAAAGACAGACTTTCTTGGTCCATTCCCGTCTTCCGAATATTTTTGAAGCTTGTTTTAAACTCCCCTTGATCTGTGGCTGCGGTCCTTCTGACACTTGGTAAACACCCCAGTCAAATAGTATGTCGCCACGGTGTGGTACCTTTAAAATGTGTTGCCCCATATTTCAGACTCATTGAAGAGGCCTTTTCGTACTAGCCTTTCCCACAGGCTGTTGGGAGTCAGGATACACAATCTTATTATTTTTTCTGTTCCTAGACTGTACCACTTCAGACTTGGCAGGGATCGGAGTCAGCACTGCAGGCGTGAAAATAAAAGCAACCAGCTCCCTGCATGTAGAAAAGTAGTCTCCTGACAGGTTAATTTTTTTTAACGTGCCTGTAGTTTTTAATATGGAGTCCCCTACCTGCAGCCTGAAGTGGTATAGTTTGTGAAAACTCCGCTCCTAAGGTTTTTTCTCCCCTCCTGCTGCTATATAAAGAGATGTTCTAACTGCTGCCACAAAAGCGTACTGTTGCTTTTATGAGGTAGGGACAGTTTATGTTGTTTTGCTTAGTGATGCCGTGATTTTATATTAGTATTGTTGTCCTGTTATTGGTATGTATCCAACAAAGCAGGGCACATAAGTCTTCAGAAGAGGGCGTAGTGATTTCTGCCAATTCCCCTCTTCTGAAGACTCCCCGTGCTATTCCTGAGCGCCCACTGACAACACTTTTTTGGGGGGAGGCTAAATGGTCTCCAGTGGGCAATATGAAGCTACCTTATACAGAATCAGACCCTTGGTCTATCAAGGTTGGTATTGCCTATGACTGGCAGAGGCTCTCAAAGGTCTCAGACAGCGGTGTTTCATATCGCCTGATGCTGGGGGTTGAAACAGGGACCTTTGTAGAATATTCCTTCGGCATTGCAGCAAAATGGCTCTGTTAAAGGGTGGAACCAAACCCTGGTCCATTCAGGTAAACTCTTCAATGTATATACATTTTGAATATTGAATATGCATTCACTAAAGGCTTAGTGTTGTTTTCAGCACTGGGGATCATCCCTCTAAGATAATGAAGTCAAAATAAAAGGTTGTTTTGAGGACAGAAACACAGTATTTCTGTGTTTGATACTCTGTTTCTATAGCACCTTCCAGGAGTTCTTGGGGGAGGGTTTTGCTGAAGACTTCCTGATGATTGAGGTTTTACTAAAGGACCCTTCTGACTCAGAGCACATATACTTTGCTGCTATCTTACTCTAGTTCTGGCTTAAGATTTCCTGTCCACCGCAAGAGGCTTCCAAAGGTACTTCAGCCCTGGCGACGTTTGCTCTCAAAGTTAAGAATTCCCCACACTTGTTTAAGAAATGAATCCCTCTTTCTTTCTGCTGCAGGCAGCATTGACTTCTTTGAGAGCTTTTGAAAGTGGACTGGCATGGAGTTTTGCTTAATCTCTGTAAGAAGACATGCTCTGAGGTGGGGGTAGACCACATTGTCCACTAGCTCCGGGCGTTCCCTTCTGTACCCACAATTTGACAGTAGCATCAGAGACAGAAATGGTCTTGCACCCCTCAGCTTTTCCAGGAAGAGTGCACTGTCTTCCTCTCCCTTGCCAAATAAGAAGTCGGCTCTTGCTTTTCAAAGGGGAGAGCGAAATGGCAACATGAAAACAACCAACCCCCTCACTACAAAAATGACATCCTGCAGTCAAGAAAATGAAGAGTGCTTCACTGCTGATAAACGCTCCTTCGAAAACAAGACTTTTAATAAATTGGATTTGTGGTTTAAGAGGCAGAGTGGGCCAGTCAAGTTCCCATGCACCAGAGCTGTATCCTAAGTTCTGATGACGACGATGATAAAGCACGCGGCGAGGCCTTTGCCGAAAGATTAAAAAATGGCCTTTTAGTGTGCGGCATACAAAGCGCCTCCCCAGGTATTAACTCAGAGATGTATCGGGATAATGCGCCGTAGATAAAATGAGCCCATTACTTATACTGTGAAGCCAAATCTAACCAGCGGAGCTCATTTTATGGAGCCGCCATCGGCAGCCTTCGAGGAGTGTTCCTGCAGCTGCTGGATGAATTGTTTAATATACAATCTTGTCCCGCTTCAGTAATAGCTTTCACTCTGGGGAGGCAGCGGGTATTACTTTTAAAGCAGCTGCCAGTATTTTAAGTGCTATTAAACTCTCTTGCCCTTTGCTTGCTTCCTGTTAAAGTGAGCGTAGTTGCTGGCAAAAGGTGAACACTGAGGAAGGGGCTGCACGTAGCCACGTTGGGTGTGGGTGGGTGTGTTCTTCCCTTCTTGCCCGGTGGAGTTCTTGGCATCTGGTACACTTGAGAGCATTTGTGCTGGTGCCAACTGTTTGTGCCGTTTTCAGAACTGTCTTGCAGGATCAGGCCAACAGTGGCCAAGCAGATATTTCCGCAAACTCTCAAGCATGGCATGAGGGCAACATTCTTCTTTTGTTTCAGTTCCTAGCAGTTGATATTCAGGGTGTATGGTCCCTGTACGTAGTGGCTCCACTGAAGGAGGAGCCATGGCTCGGTGGTAGAGCAGCTGCTTGGCATGCAGAAGGTCCCAGGTTCAATCCCTGACGTCTCCAGTTAAAAAAGATCAGGTGAGAGGTGATGTGAAAGACCTCAGCCTGAGACTCTGGAGAGCCACTGCTGTCTGAGTGGACAATACCGAACTTGATAGACCAATGGTCTGATTCAGTATAAGGCAGCAACACATGCACAGCTCCACTTACCTCTCATGGCTGTTTGGGTTTGATAGACTTGTCCTCTGATACCTGGTCTTGTAAAAGATCTTGGCTCTCCCCATTATATATATATTCTAAAAGGAGCTGCGGTGGCTCAAGTGGTTAAGACGCTGAACTGCAGGCTGTGGAAGGTCAGTAGTTCAGCAGTTCGAGACCCGAGTTGCCGCATGACGGCGTGAGCTCCCGTCTCTAGTTCCAGCTCCTGCCAACCTAGCAGTTTGAAAGCAAGAAACTGCAAGTAGATAAATAGGTACCACTTCGGTGGGAAGGTAACAGCGTTCCGTGCGCCTTGGTGTTTAGTCATGCCGGCCACATGACCACGGAAACGTCTTCGGACAGCGCTGGCTCTTCGGCTTTGCAACGGAGATGAGCACCGCAACCCTACAGTCGGACTTGACTGGCTTTCGAGCAAGGGAACCTTTACCTTTTAATATA